TCTACTGCAGCCGCACCAGTTAGGAACTTAAACGCCATAAGGAGGTCTCTGAGCTTTCTTCTCATCAACAGACTAGAAAGAGAAAAGACGCGGTGTCGTTTAGTACTATGAGGAATATATTCATAAGTCAGCCCAGAACAGCGCATGGCAAGTTTGCACGCAAAACTATTCTGGACACTTTCCAGTAGGCGTATATCCTTTTTCTTGTGTGGACTGAAAACTGTAGTACCAGATTCAAGGATTGGCCTAACATAAGTCTTATAAGCTCTCGTGAGAATCCGAGAGTCTTTTGAGTGGAGGGCTCTGAAAAGGTTATGAACTCTGCACATAGCTTTGGATACAATATCTCTGTAGTGTTTATCAATTCCGAGCTTACTGTCGAATTTGAAGCCGAGATCACTAACCTTGGAATAGGATTTGTTCCTTTTTTCAGCAAATTCTGGAGGAATTCTATCTAAGAGATCCTTTTGCATGTGCTAGTCCGGATAAACGCCAATCTCTTTGTCATATGTTAGATATCGATCCATACCGGGTGAGTTGGGTTTTGGAGATTCTTCTTCCGTTTCATGTGGTCACAGATTTGCGTTTATAAATCATAAGCTGCACCATGGTTAACTTGGCATGCTTATCGTTTTTTTTGCGTATATGCTCTATGTGAAGGAACTAGAAGGGTGGGTAGGGTCGGGCTTCGTTGGGCTGTTTCTAGTAGTATTAAACTTATCTGCACTGAATGTTTGCTGCGCAACCTCACGCGAAGCTTGTACGTATTGCGAACTGAACTGCATTAATTCCATAGCAGCCTGCCTCGCAATAAATTAGCTGCCCACCGGGTCAGTTCAAGAGTGAAGGAAAATTCATGCAAAAGTCGGCTGAGTAGAGATAATTAACGAAGTTTGGCATTGATGCGAAGGTGTCAGGGGGGATGTGTGCGTGAAACTAGAGTGATAGCGAAAATTGAAATCGGCGGGATCGATCCAAATTTATTATGCGGAGTCAAGAGGGAAAGGGGAAGTTCGGTCACCCATTTCGTTTGGGGTTGGGGTAACCAAAGACTAGATTTTGTGATGATTTGTATGAATAAAGTTGGAGGCTGTTCCTTATTGCGCTACTCCACCGGCTGCGAGTTTCTGAGTCGTGTTGAAGTGAGATGGTGCGACTTCTATTTGTTTGATAGTAATTTTCTAGCTCAAAGTGTGGTTTCAAAATCGACGACGGAAAGACAAGCTGAGCATCGAAAGTCAAAAACACAAGGAAGAGATTTGAAGCTGGGAAGTACTGCAGTGAGACGGGTCCACTGATGCAGTTCATTATGTTGCTGCTCTAATTATACAGTGCGTTGTCACTTGTCACATACATTTAAATTCGGTACAGTTCAGAGCAATAGGTCGCCCATGTCTTGCTCGGAAACGCATTAGAAGTTGTCATATACTCTGATGTATAGTAAATGATGGTATTTTATTCTTAAAATCTTACTGTGTTCAGGAATTATTTTATATAGCCTGGCGGTTGTTTAATGTCTGCCTATAAAATCGCTCATTCGATTGAGCCCTGAGTGGATTCATACCTTCAACTATTGATGAATTCTAATGATAATTTGATTTGTTTGATAGTGAACTTATTTGGCCAATGTATCTAGTCCCCAGTTTTCCCCATATCCTAGTGCGATTAATAACCCTCCTATTGAGGTTGTGGAATGTGATGAAAGGCGTGAACCAAAAAGTGGGTTGGATAAAGGGTTTCTGCCAGCTCCGAATTGAGCGTTTTGATCGACAAAGATACTTTCGAGATCCTTTGGACCCTACAATGGGGCTCTATTACTTGTGAATACCATACCTCATAGGAATATCCATCCCACTTTCAAATCGCCATCTTTACTGAAGTGGAGTCGTAAGGCAGTGGCTATAGTCCTTGACGCGCTGTAGAAGTCGTGGAATTGGTAAGTGATGTATCGATCGTGAGGATTGGGGTATCCTGCTCGCAGTTTTATGTTAGGAGCCATCATTATTGATCTAAGTTGAGGAAATAAAAAGTATTCATTATCATTTCCATTCCTTTCCCTACTCAATGTCTCCAGTAATCGCGAAGGTGGCGACTTCGGAAAGAAATGCTGGAGTTTCTATGGAAGATTTTATACTCATGGTAATAAGGGCTGTAAGAATTTATCCGAGAATTCCCGAACGGTTCCCTGATTTTTGTTCTCATTGTTTGAACAGCTTCTTTCAGATGAGTTTTCATTTGGCTACTTTGTTCCATTGATCTTGTTGCTGATGTGTTGATCTTATTAAGTGTTCGCTTTCATTTGTGATAGATGAGAAAACATATAAATCACCGTGATAAATATTTATTTCATAGTGGTGTTGCATTATAATTATTGTGATGCACTTCGTATAAGTTATATTGCCATTTAATATTGTTTTATTGACTGAATCCATTCAGTTTGTACAGCAAATTCTTGTGCTTCTCTTTGTACAGCCAAGTGGCTGGTTAGATAGAATGGCGTGGTGCTAGGCAAGCTGCAGCGCCACGGCCGGCCGTTCGAAGGGCGCCTCACAAAACTCAAGGAAGGCGCCATTCGCCAGGGCGTTGCTGAAGTGGCGGCGCCCCAACGGCGGCGACCGATTTGTCTGGGGTGTGGGGGTGGGGTGATGGTGGCGGGTGGAGCGCATGGCGCGATCGATTGCACCAAACCTGCCCCGTCGCTTTTCGTTCTTCCCGTTTTCACACCATCATCACGGTTTTCTGATAAGTGATTAAGTTTTTTTTCATTCATTTGTGTACTTCAGTCTGGGTGCCTCTTTACTAAACTAGTTAATCTCAGCTCTCCGATTTTCTCCAATTTTATAAGGAATCTTGTGGCATCAAAAAAATGGGAATATAGTAGTCATGAGGAAAACTAATTCCCGTTATCATCGAAGCTCACGCCGGCATTCGGGAATGGCGCCATATTTACGGCCCTCTTGGCTCGTTTCCAGATGACTGTGCGGCGTCTGCTTGTATTTCAACTAGGCGCCACCGATTGCCACTAAAATATTCGGGTGGAAACTGTAGTTCAGAGAAATCATTCAATCATTTGGCTAGTTGGTGGGCGACTGGTTATGAGAACCAGATTTGACTGTTTACAATTAGTTAAGACTGGTGAACTACATAGAAAGTAATGAGCTTGAAGTTCCCTGTTCCAGAAAACAGATTATAAGAACTGTAGAGCCTCAATTTGATTGGAGTTTACTACTTGGAAGTAATTAAGAAGTTCTCATGTAGCATTCATTACTGAAAAAATAGAGTGGCTTGCCAAATTAGCGGCATAGATTTGTATGGGTGATCCCTTTTAATATCTATAGGTACCGGTCAAAGTAACGGGTAATCTGTCCGGATCTTAATACCACCCAGAGGGAATGTCATATTCTTATGTGGCTTATTGAACTGTAATCACCAAGAAGCGCCCCGCTTGATGAAGCCCTGCACTTTAGGCGCTCATGTCATCCTCCCACCCCTCCTTACGCCTTCGAAGGCAGGCTTGCGTACCGAGAAAAATCAAGCAGAAACTAACGGTTTCAAAAGGCCTCTTCGAAAAACTCATGGTTTTTTTCTGATGCCATTATATTCCTGATCACAGTCCAAATGCATGAACCTTCTGAAACAGTTAATTTACAAAAAAAAACTTCTCAATTCTCAGAAAATTAAACAGAATAGTTCAAAGCATGATGCTCACTTAGAGGTAGTGGAATCTTGGAAGAGCCAGGGCAGCGGAATTTAGCCAGCTATGAACTCTATGCTGATAGGGAATTTCCAATTGTACTATATATCGCAGGAAAACTTCTTTTGTAATTGGAATGGAGTAATGGTGGACTTGTTTAGAAGTGAAATGTGGGAAGAGTGCACCTCGAACCTAAAATGACTTTATGATTTCTTACTCATTCGGGTATGAGTACTTCATATATCTTCAATAGAAATTTTCGTCATGTTTTTCTGCCAGCCCCTCGATCTCTGCCGGCCCCTCGATTTCTGCCATCGCACGATTTCTGCATTGCGCTTGTCTTTTCCACCCCATCGATTTCTGAGATCAATTGTTGCGCAGGCTTGGAAACGGTGAAGATCAAAAGGCAGCCATTTTAGGCGTGTGGAACGGTTTCATCAGAGTTTCAGTGAAGCGTCTTACGCTGGTCTCTGGTATAGGGGTTTCTTCCCAAATTGTCAACGAAAGAAAATAATGCTTTAACTTTCTGGAAACTGAAAAGTAATTGGCATGGAATTGGCGAAGGCTTCGAAGTAGTGATACTTTGAAAGAGCAGAGCCCAACAGTATCAGTCGTTCCACCCTTGTGGTATGAAATATTTGCACTAAAGCGGCTTGGAATGGAGCTCATTTTTTGTCGTCCACCTCCATTTCAGTACGTTGATACCAATACACCCATATTCATAAACACAAAATCGATTTCCAAGAATCTATTTTGCAAACAGAAAAAATTCAATTTTTTAAACGAATAAGTTGATCGTAACGTGCTGTTCTACGTTAAGAAAACGTGGAATTGGGAAAATTCGTAAGGACAATTACAATTGGACACAAATTGGCTCACCCCTCTCAACTACACGCGTAAGGAAATAAACCTCAGTATTACATAGACAGGAAAAGCATTCAGATGTCATAGCGATTGGAAGTAAAATGCTTGGCGCATCTATAAACGTAGTTCATTAGCTCTCTCTTCAGGTTTGCGCCTGTATCATTATCATAGAAAAATTCGCTTTTTATCTTTCCTTCTCTAGTGACAGCAGCCCTCCTGAGAGTTTGCTTCTTATGAGTAGAACCCTTTATTTAAATAGTATAAGAATTCTTTTTAAGGTATTATTCGATGCGAGAAAATGGTAAGGCCACCTACATACGCCTAGGAATCACACCTTTTAATTACAAATTTTCCCAATTCCACGTTTTCTTAACGTAGAACAGCACGTTACGATCAACTTATTCGTTTAAAAAATTGAATTTTTTCTGTTTGCAAAATAGATTCTTGGAAATCGATTTTGTGTGTATGAATATGGGTGTATTGGTATCAACGTACAGAAATGGAGGTGGACGACAAAAAAAAATGAACCCCATTCCAAGCCGTTTTAGCGTAAATATTTCATACCAGAAGGGTGGAACGACTGATACTGTTGGGCTCTCTTCTTTCGAATTATCACTACTTCGAAGCCTTCGCCAATTCCATGCCAATTACTTTTCAGTTCCCAGAAAGTTAAAGCATTATTTCTTTCAAAGTTGACAATTTGGGAAGAAACCCCTATACCAGAGACCAGCGTAAGAAGCTTCACTGAAACTCTGATGAAACGGTTCCACACGCCTAAAATGGCTGCCTTTTGATCTTCACCGTTTCCAAGCCTGCGCAACAATTGATCTCAGGAATCGACGGGGTGGAAAAGACAAGCGCACTGCAGAAATCGTGGGGATGGCAGAAATCGAGGGGCCGGCAGAAATCGAGGGGCTGGCAGAAAAACATGACGAAAATTTCTATTGAAGATAAATGAAGTACTCATACCCGAATGAGTAAGAAATCATAAAGTCATTTTAGGTTTGAGGTGCACTCTTCCCACATTTCACTTCTAAACAAGTCCACCATTACTCCATTCCAATTACAGTTTTTCTCCGATGTATAGTACAATTGGAAATTCCCTATCAGCATAGAGTTCATATGGCTTAATTCCGCTGCCCTGGCTCTTCCAATATTCAACAATTCCCTAAGTGAGACCATGCTTTGAACTATTCTGTTTAATTTTCTGAGAATTGGGAAGTTTTTTTTTGTAAACTAACTGTTTCAGACTGCCAGAAAGCTTACCAGCCAACCAATTAAGGGAGGTCACCCCTTAGACGAGTGGTGGATGGGCGAGGAAGGTGCGAAGTAATTACAATTGGACACAAATACCGACTCCCCTATGGAACACCACGAATCCCACCCACACTTGCACCACACTCCCGCTGCATACCGTTGTATTTTTTCTCAATCTCCACTTTGTAGGGGATAGGAATAGTCGCCTTAACAAAGTGTGTATATCGGCAGGAATGCCTGGTCAAAGATTTCGAGAGCAGTTCGTCATTTATGGAGAGAACCTCCTTACTGATTCCAGTATACGGTTTTCGGAAGAGGACAGTTCCTAATGAAGAAGTGGCGGGCCACTAGCAGTATAGAGCTCACATGGCTCGATTCCGCCCTTCTACGATCCCACTATTCTCCGAGTAAGAACAATAACTGTTTTTCCCCTTTCAATAGCAATCTTTCTGAAAAAATGGTCTATCTATATAAGTACATGCGAATATTTATGCATGTACATGCATATGTGGGAATCAGAATTAGGAGCTGTGCAAAGACACACGAGTTGTCAAAAAATCTGAGAAACCTCTCGTCAATATCTCATTTTCTCGCTGGACTCCTTCTTGAAGGTTATGTGGCCCCTTCCTCGATAGGATGGACCATCACCTTCGATGGGCACTCTCTTGTCATCTGCGTCCTCCGCACGTTCTACAGTCTTTCTGGAAGTCGATCAATTTCCACAAGCCTCCTCTCCTTATCCATCGATCCCAGGTTATCTCATCAAACCCTGGGGTTCCACCCAGACCCATGTTTGGATTCCTTCTTTCATTTGAAACGCGGAGGGCTCGAACAATAGATGTTTTTCTATGAGACCCGGGTTCTTAGTATGGCCCGCGTAACTGTACTGAATCATCTGAACCATAAACATGGTCTCTGGATCCAGACCTCCAATTAGATAGT